GAAAGATAATACGACACGATATGTCTAAACGTCTTTTGTTGTCTGTGACGTCAAACGGGGTGTTTCTTTTTGGGACTCTGGTCGTTTGTCCTAAAGTTGAAGTGGTAGCAGCCGGCTGTTTCTCCTTCTCTGATATGTCTGAGAACCTCACACACCAGTGTTGTTTTGTAGCTAAATACGCGTAATAAGTGGAGGACCCAGGGATGTGCAGTGATTTGGCAAGACCACCAATCGGATGGTCCAATATTTGTTTGTTGAAGATTCTACGATATAATTTTTTTCCCTTTTATTTTTAATCTCCACAATATATTTATAGCTATACTATGTTAGAACTTTGTTGAAAGGCATGAAAACGTTTTTTAAAGCTAATTTGCTGTCCAAATTTTCATTTGTAGCTTTAAATGGTTCAGATTGAGCATCAGGATTAGTACCTCCATTGTAAACCTCCTATATATACTTTAACACATGTCTACTGCCCCCTGGTGGAGGATCTACAAGTGGTGAGGGCCAATTTTATTTCTTTTATTACATTTTATTGTAATTGCATCAAAATATGAAGAGATTATTCAACATGTTATATTAACATTAGCCAATTAGCATCTGAGTTTCTAAAACTAGATTTGAAAAAACCTTACTCTCATTTAAACATATTTTGTATATTCCTTCTTTATGTTTCTTTTGATTGCTTTAGCCTGATTTGTCATTTTAGGTTGATAAACGAATAACTAACTAACTAACTGACTAACTAACTAACTAACTAACTAACTAAACAATGCCGATTGCAATGTTTTACAAGTTTTTCATGTTATTATTTAAAATTTTGCTACCATTTATTCTCAAACCAGGATGAATGAATAAAAAGAAGTGACCTTTTGTTTTGCGTGTGGATCAGTGATCATTTTCAGACTCTGCATTCATATTTACTCCTTTGATCTGTTTTAAATGTATTTTCAGTCGACCAGCCTTCAAACCACAGATGCAATTTCAACCAGTGGCTAACTCTGGCCCAATCCCTTTCTCATCTCTTGAGATTATTGTACTTGTGCATTTAGCACCACACACACACACACACACACACACACACACACACACACACACACACACACACACACACACACACACACACACGCACGCACGCACGCACGCACGCACACACACACACACACAAACAAGCATAAATGCAAAGCTCCTTTACTGCAGTTTACAAGAAAAAAATGCACATGCTTACTTATTTTGATGAAATGTAGCTTAGAAAACCTGTGCATCCTTTTGAGCTACTGCATTAAAATAATTTAGTATTGAATAACCGTTTTGCAGCAGAGCTATGTGGTGGAAGCACTTGTTGACATGTTTGGCAAGTGCTGTTGTGCGATGTCACGCTCTGCAGCACGGAGAGGCACGCGGTGAAAAAACAGAAGCACCGCTGTGGAAGCCCGATGTACATTTAAATGAATGTAATCACGATAACCGTGGAAAATGTTCCGCCAAAAAAAATGATGGTGTGAGAAGATCCTCATGTGTCTGTGTGTTTGTGTTTTTTCTGGTGCAGAAGTTAATACATTAAAGGGTTGTTATAGAAATTTACAGCAACATGACTCTACCACTTACTGCTCTGTGACGGGGTTTTTTAGTTCCACAAAAACACAAGCCTGGGGGAGATTCTGCCATGTGGTTCAGTTGTTAATGCTAACAGTTAGCTTTTGCTAACTGAAACGTTCTCTGCTGCAAGGGCTGATGAACAGATTTAATCCACTTAATGTTATGGAAACACAGCAGGATTAGCTGTTAAGCACAGAAATGGATGGTTTCTTCTAAGAGGCTCTTCTGTTTGTGAGCAGCTACAGATGAGCCTCTTTCTCTCACTTCTCACATCTACAATTACACAACCATTGCCAGCAGTGGTCAGCTTTCTAAACCCGACTCTCTGTCGGAAACAGATGAATGTCTGGCCAACGGCTGCACGAATGAAGCAAATGGATGAATCATTTCTGTTGTAACTGAATGTTGCTGGGGTTTAATGCATGGTAAGAATGAAAGAGATCGTGTTTTTTATGTATGTCTCTTTTTTTATATAAAGGTGTGGAACTCTCGTTTAATCAATACATTTGCATCGGTCTCTTGTAGGAATGAATGTCTTGCGAGGCGTACTCGGGGCAAAAAATGCCCAGAAAGGCTTGGACCAGCAAGGTCAAGTCTGCCACATCAGAGGAGAGCTTCACACGGCAAGATTTTGAGTCATACTTTCTGATATTTGGACATCTCTCCTCTGATTGGCTATTAGCAACACGACTCTACCACTAACTGCGCTGTGACACAGATTTTTTAGTTCCACAAAAACTCAAGCCTGGGGGAGATGCCATGTGGTTGAGTTGTCAATGCTAACAGTTAGCTTTTGCTAATTGAAACGTTCTCTGCTGTTTCCTGGACACTAAACCATCAGCAGCCTTCCCCATGAACCAGCATAGGGGAGTCCTAGCGGCCGCTTAATGTAGGTCTGTCAGGATTCTAGCGTTTCAACATCTATTTTCTATCAAAAGCTAATGCAGGAGATAGGTGTAGGAGACAATTTTCATGCTCAGCCTGGATAAAACACTCAGAGTGACCGATTATAATCCAAAATTATTATATATATTTTTTCTTTTCAGTGAACCACACATTTAAGGATTTGCACAATTACCGCAATGACTCTAAAAAATCATCTTACCAGATAATCCTACTTTGTGAAACTCTTGGATTTGAAAATCCTGACAGATTTATGTCACACTGTCACTTAACATTCACGGACTCACCCATCTTGACTCACAACGGGAAAAGCTGTCGTTGGTTTAGAGTCCAGGAAACAGCAGAGAACGTCTTGATTAGTCGAAGCTAACTATTAGCACTAGCAACTTCACAACATGGCAGATCTCCCTGGCTTGTGGTATTTGTGGAGATAAAACCTCAACGATGCAAAACAGTGGTGGCACCAGGGGGTTGCTAGGGGGCGCTATAGCTACCCCTAGATTAGTCATAGCACCCCAAGTAAATATTATATAAATATACTGTATGTATATATATATATATATATATATATATATATATATATATATATATATATATTTATTACAATTTAATTTTAATTTAACGTGTGGATGTGATTATTTTTATTTTGTATGTTAAATATTATCAGTAAATTATCATATAGATAGTAAAACTTAAACCAAAACAGGAAATTGATGTTAACCTTTGACCTCATTTTCCACCTGCGAACGAGTGAAAGGTAGAGCTAGTGGTTAAATGGATTGGTTTTTGTTGCCCAAATTTCCACGGGTTCAGTCAGAAACGAATGAATCTTTGGAAGTGATCTCAGACCCACAAAAACCTACGGATCTGGATGAAGAGAGTCAACCCTCAACCGCCACAGGAGTCGAGGGATTTGCCTCTGGAAATGCTAACACTAACATTAGCTAACCTTGCAACACTATAGATGGTTTTCTGTGTGGCTGTATGTGTTTATGATTTCATGGACAAGTCAGCAATTGTTCATATGTTTATGATGTACATTAATGATTGTTTCAGGTGTTGTTGAGGTTTGTGCACGCATGTGTATCTGCTAGTGTTCAAGGTGTTCTAGAGAACAATAGGTACGCATGACCACTCCTTCATAGCACCCTCAACAAAAAGACTAGCTCCTTCATAGCACCTGCAGAAAAACATTTCTGGAGCCGCCACTGATGCAAAATAAATTGAGTCTGTGGTAGAGTCTCACCACTGTTAGCCAATCCCAGTTGAGATATCCAAATATTAAGAAATCAGACTCCAAATCCTCACAGAATGGGAGTGAGAGTGTCTTGTTTGTTGAGAAACTGGGCTGAAGTAACCAAACTTGACCACAGGATGTCATGCTTACCCCATTTTTACTTTATGCACCTTCAACAATTTCCAGCATAATAATTAGTCATTCTTGCAATTCTTTTGTGGCAGCTAAATCCATTTGTGGATTTCTTTTTTTAGATAACCATGTGTTTGTGATAATGCCAGACTGGTTTGAGGTATTTAACAAACATATCAATCAGTCAGTCAATCTCTATTTATATAGCTCCTTCCACTGCCTTTGCAGGAGCCCAAGGTGCTGAACATAAAACACTAAAAACATAGAGAGCAATAAAAAGGAGATAAAAGCAACATAGAGATATAAAAGCAAAGTACAAAATGTGAAAGTAGCATTAAAGCACAAAACCAAGTCACATAAAAGCCAAGAAATAAAAATGAGTCTTCAAACGACTCTTTAGGACCTGCAGTGATGGTAGTTTAATATCGAGTGGAAGCTCATTCCAGAGAGAAGGAGCAAAGACCGAGAAAGCCCGATCACTTCTAGACCTGTACCTCGTCAGTGGGACAGTCAGTAGCTCCAGGTCAGCCGAGCGTAGAGTTCGTGATGGGGTATGTTTTATTATCAGTGCTGCCAAGTATGATGGAGCCCCACCATAAAGAGACCGGAAGACATAGCACAAAACCTTAAAACTTAGCCCGAAACCTACAGGGAGCCAGTGTTGTAAAGTCAGCACAGGAGTGATGTGTGCCGACTTCCTCGTCCCTGTCAGAAATCTGGCTACAGAGTTCTGAACTAACTGTAGACGTCTCAGTGCTGCCTGACTTCGCAATACATATAAAGCATTACAATTAAACAATTTCTTTACTATTAAACGTGCCATCTAACATTTGGCTAAATATTCTAAGATTAAGTTAGAAAACAGTAAAAAATATGCATCATCGGGTAAATTACGGTCTCCAAACAGCAACCTCTTGAGCTCACCTCTGTAAGGATATAAAAGGTTTGATGTATTACATACCATCATGTCTAATCCCTTCACACCACAAAACCCATTTAATAATGTGATTATACTTTTAATCACATCCATGTGTCACATCTGTGCAGCACACATGCCTGGCTTGCCAACACAAACCCTTTAATGTCCAGACAGAAGGAGAGCACATGGACGTGTTGGGTTGCTGCTTACCCCCGTGTCTGGATAGGTGGTCCAGCCCAGCTCTGAGGTAGTCTCTGTTGTGTCCAGCAGCATCACTGAGAGGCGAAAGAAGCAGAGACACAGAGACAAAGGATGAGAAAACACACAGAGGCGAGACGGGCAGCTTTCAGTTTGACGCTTGGTAGTTTCACTGAGAGGGTGAGGGCGGAATAAAGCAGGAAAGCTGTGAAACAGAATCTGTAATCATAAAATATTCTCTGAAGGACTTAGAACTGTGATCACAGCGAGATGTAAAACACATCTGTGAAGTTGAGAAGCTTGGTATTCATTTTGATTTTACAAAAGGACTTCTGTTAGATCATATCAAGTCACGCAGGAATGATTTACTGCCTAATATTTTCTCCTCCGTGCAACAAAATCAGGGAAACTACTAGATCTGAGGAAATGCTTTCATTTTTGGCCTGATCAATGCGCTCAGTGTTCTGTTATTGATGCAGGATTTAAAAAATATTGGCTCATTTCCTCTGAACACTTTTATGTTTGAGTGAGATTTTTATTTATTTTCCTCTTAATTTGATTTTGGGGTTTAAGTGGTTTAAAAAGCATACTGGCAAAGGAACACACGCACACACACACACACACACACACGCGCGCGTGCGCACACACACACACACACACACACACTGAGAAGGTGATTTTAATGCTGAGTGCTGCCTGCTGGCACATGGCAGCTTCCCACACAGAAATGAAGCCCTTGAATTTTCCATTAGCATTCCAAAACGGCGGTGGTTACTCTTCGTTTAGTCTAGCACGGGATGGACCACCGACTGAACGCGCGCCAAAATTTGAGGTGGCAAAACATCAGACTTCATGTCTGGAAGACGGCACACGCGGAGTTAATGGAGGAAAAGCACACAGCCGTAGTCACCCTGACAGCTGCACGCACGCACACACACACACACACACACACACACAGACACACACACACACACACACTCACAAGCGAGCACAAACATACATGCACACTCACGAGCACACACACACATGACAAACACACACACACACGCAAACACAAACACCTACACACACACATACGCATGCTCGCGTGCACACACACACACACACACTCACGAGCACACACACACACACACACATGACAAACACACACACAAACACACATAAACACACACACATACGCATGCTCGCACACACACACACACACACACACACACACACACACACACATGACAAACACACACACACACACGCAAACACAAACACCTACACACACACATACGCATGCTCGCGTGCACACACACACACACACACACTCACGAGCACACACACACACACACACACACATGACAAACACACACACAAACACACATAAACACACACACATACGCATGCTCGCACACACACACACACACACACACACACACACATGCGCATGCTCGCGCGCGCACACACACACACACACACACACACACACACACACACATACACACACACACACACACACACACACACACACACACACACACACACACACACACACACACACACACACACACAGCCGTAGTCACCCTGACTTTATGGCTGCTCTCGTGGTCTGCCTGTATCTGTTCTGTCTACATGTGTGTGTCTGTAACCTTGGTCAGGATGTGCTGCGGAGTCAAGTTCCTATGCTCTGGTTCGCTGGAGCGCTGGCAATAAAGCTTTTCTGATTTCTGACACACACACACACAAACACCTACACACACACGTATGCATGCACGCGCACTCACACACTAGACACACACACACACACACACATGCACGACTCTGTGGGAGGGCAGAGCCATCATCCTCTCCTTACAAATGAATAATTCCTCTCATTGTTGGGATTTTTAATGCTTTCATTTCCATTTAATGTCACTCAAAGAAAATGAGGCTCTTAGTTTGTTCTTCAGACAGCCAAACAAAAGAAGTAATACTATCCCTGCGATCGGTGCACACACCGGGATTTAAAAAGACATCCCATGCATCAAAACAACAGCGACTGGCAGAGAAACAGACTTTCCTCCAACAGGAACATGCAGCCTGTCTTAACAAATCAAACAACCAATAGAACGCAATATCTTCTGTAGCTTTTTCACATGAAATCGCCTCCACCTCTCTGCTTCTCCGGCTGTTCTGTAAACATTTATTTTTTTTATTTTTTTCAGGATTATGCTCACAGATGGATAACCCACAAATCTGTCCTGCAAGCCTTCATTCCCCAGTGTCTCTGTCTGTTTTCACCCAGCGCCTTGTCTTTATGTCAATCTCATTAAAGTCACACATTTTCCATGGATGTCATCCAGGATTTGGGGTGATTTGTATCAGGAGGGGAATACAAATGGACTGTGACATCTTAGGTTTATTCAGCCACAGGCGTCAGAACAAATCGTTTTGTTTGTGTGTGTGTGTGTGTGTGTGTGTGTGTGTGTGTGTGTGTGTGTGTGTGTGTGTGTGTTTTCATCCTGCTTGGCAATGAGCGGCGGCAGAAGCAACAGGGATCATGTTGACTGCAGAGAAAACGACTAAACAAAGATTTTACCAGTGGCGTGTCCAAGCATTTTAAAATAGGGTGGCCCGGGTACTTGTTTATGCATGGGTGGCACCCAGCCTGGCATTGGGGGGCCCTGTCTGCCTTGGACCAAACACAAAATTTGTCAATCCTTCAATCCAATCACAAAACAAAGGCATCACATTAGCCAATCACAGATAGAGGGTCACTTCCTGGTGAAATGAGAGTCTTCTCCCCCAGATGAGGAGAAGAGGACAATGAAACAGGTGATAAGGGCTCACTACACTCTACTGTCATGGCATGGTCATCTAGAACCTTAAAATTAGACCGATTTCAGTAAAAAGCCTTCAAGCAATTATATCAGACACAACACGTAACATCCATCCATCCATTTTCTGAACCCGCTTTGTCCATGTAGGGTCACGCGCGGGTGGGGTGGGGTGGGGGGGGGGTCTGGTGCTTATCTCCAGCGGTCAACGGGCAATCAGGCGGGGTACACCCTGGACAGAGAGCCAGTCCATCACAGGGCAACAAAGAGACACACAGGACAAACAATCACACACGCACACACACACACACACACACACACACACACACACACACACACACACACACACACACACACACACACACACACACACACACACACACACACACACACACACGCACACACACACACTCACACCTAAGGACAATTTAGACAGACCAATCAACCTAACAGTCATGTTTTTGGACTGTGGGAGGAAGCCGGAGTAGAACCCGGTACCCGGAGAGAACCAACACGTAACATGACTGGCTTAAATAAGACAAGCATTTATTTGACGGTTCAGCATGATGTTTGATGCATAAATCTTTTAACATATATTAAAATCATCATGGACAAAATTATAGTTATAGCAAAATTGGTTTCAAACGTATTTCTCAATCCTTATCCGATTCTGGAACTGTTCCAGAGGCCACTGGAGGCGTTGTCCACCACCTTCACAGCATTTAAATATGGACTGACTTTTGGAGCCATCACTGCGTTCTGTGAACATTCATTTTCCAATCTTAGAAACGTATTCACAAACCGTCGCTTAAGTAATTTTCATCAGTGCAGAGCCAACCTCATCCAGTTGGCATTTGAAAAAGACGACAAAGAAATTCAGAAATGAGTGGAAAGACAAGACTTTAAAGTGATTAGCAAGAGGCAAAATTCCTTTTGGATGACATGTGCAAAACAAAATTAAAACCTCTGCTGAAAAACGTTTGTGGGTTTTCAAATAGTGCTCTCAGAACAGAAGATAGCTTCTTATCTGATCTCAGACCAGCTGACGACGACACACCGGGGAACGCTCCACAAGCAGCTAGTGGGAATGCTGTTTCCATGTTAGCAGACAACAATGTGTCATCAGTCAGAGATAGCCTCTGAAACCTCTACTAGTTGGTCAGATTTTTTTTCCTCTGGGATACGACAACAAGAACGGATATAGGATTACCAGAGAAGTTCTGCCTAACTCCAACCACCCGCTAGCTGGATAGACGGAGGTGCAGACATGTTTGAGGCTGGCTCAGAAGATCGGCGACCCGATCTGGACACCAGGGAGGATTCTGTTTGTCTTCGCAACCTAAAATGGTACGTTTGTTTACTTGTTTTTGACTGTAGATCTTAGCTCCATAATGTCCCAATATAATTCAGTAATCTACTGTCATGGTCTGCATCTGCCCCTTCCTTCATGTGCCTCCTGGTGTTTCTCCATCCTCTCCAGATTCCCTTCTGTGTCCTAGCGCCCTCATGTGTCATGTCTGCGTCTTCCTCAAGTGTCTTCTGGTTTTCCCCATTTCCTTTAGTTACAGCCTTTCATGATTTAGTACGTTTTTTCCCATCAGTGTTTATTATCCCCCCCCCCCCTTTTTGAATTGTAGTTATGTTTCCTGCTCTTTTGTATTAGGTTTTATTCTTAGGTCAAGTTAGTTTCTCCCCTGATTAGTCATTGCCTTCACCTGGTCCTCCTCCCACACCCCACACACCTGCAGCTCATCTCCCTCTCATCCTCCCTGTGTATTTAAGCCCTGTCTTGTCTCAGTGTCTTGTCGGTCCATTGTTGGTATTCTGTCAGTCTCTCGTTCCTAGTCTCTAATATTTTCTCGTGTCTCAGTTGGATCTCTGGTTTATTTTGGATTTTGGACATTTTTGGACTCTTGCTCTCTGCCCTGGATTTATTCTTCGTTTCATCCTTCAACAATAAAGGATTTTACTTTACATCATCTCCTGCCTCGTGTCATCCTGGGTTGCTGCATATTTGGGTCCTAAACATCCCCAAAACGTGACATCTACAGAAAGGTTTGTTTATGTTTATGTATTTAGCAGAAGCTTTTGTCCAAAGCGACTTACAAGTGATAATTGGCATGTTGCCCATGAGGCTAACAACAACAATAACAACAACAACTTGACATCAATCATGGAGAGGAGGGAACAAAGAGTGGACAGTAGAGGGGGGACGGGTGCAGGGAAGGTGCTAGTTAGGAAGATGCTCTCTGAAGAGCAGGGTCTTCAGGAGTTTC